TATATATATATATATATATATATATATATATATATATATATATATATATATATGTTTTATTATTATCGATTAATTGGAAACAAAGTTTTCTTAATTTTTCAATAATTATTAATATATATAATAGAATTATTATTCTTGTTCTTTATGGTATTGGAAGTTTAAGTCCATGCTTATGGTTTTTTGGAGATTCACTTTCAGGTTTATCCTTATGATTTTTTGGAAATCCATCTCTAGGTTTACCCTTATGATTTTTTGGAAGTCCATCTTTAGATCCATTCTTATGTGGAGGTTTAAGACACTTCTTGTGTCTTTCTATAAATATATTGTATATTATACATATCGGCTTATTTTTATGATAAAATACGTAATCTATTATATATAATTAGAGAGATATATATGTGTCTTTAATTTGTTCATATTTAAAAATATTTATATATATATTGGTATCAAAATATTAAACTACCTTCTTTGTCGCAAGAATTAAAACATTTTGTCTCCTTTCGCATTTTCTTTGTATCCATAGACAAAACGCGGAAATTTATCTCGTTTATATCTAATGTAATGTCATTAATGTCACGCTGAAATCTGTTTGTCAAGATCAGTAGTTCATTCGATTTAGGGACAACTTTCATTGCACTTGGAAATTGCAATTTTTCAGAATCTTGCGCGATGACTTCCTTAAATAGTAATCAATATTTTATTTTACATATTAATAATCAATATTTTATTTTACAACAATACAAAATCGTACTAACAATTATTAATATAAATAATTTTTTACCAGATGGTGCGTAGAGAATAATTGCGTTCAAATATCTTACCGAGTTGTTGGAGTTAATTTGTTTAGAAGTGTCCGCACACATTATGGATGTTTCCGGGATATTGCTATAAAATATTACATGATCTTTGGATGCAATCGGTCCTATCTGATCTGACAATATATCCGTTAGTTCTGTTTTGTTATCAATCTCGCTTTCACTTAACAAACATTCTGATTGCTGCGGCAATTTCATCTTATATATTTCCTTCCCCAACAAAAGGGCGTAATATAATTCTAAAATATTCGCAATGGAGATATTAATAATTACGACTAATCAAACCAAGACTATCAAAATACCGTCAATTAACTGCATAAGCTTTTTATTATTTCTGTGCTATGTTATCAGCACAGAAAATAAAACACAAATAAATAAATAAATAAATATAT